TCCTTTCACAGGGCGCTTTCATTCCTGATCCTCTGGCCAATGCCCATGTACGGCTCGGGATACATCTTCTCCAAAAAGTTCTTTACAGGCTGGGTGACGGTGGGCATCATCTGGATCTTTTGCTCATTCATTGCTGTCGGGCTGTATCCCGCGTGGGAAAGCAGGGACACGCTCGTCAAGGTGGTGAGGCTGATCGTCACGGGCAAACGGCCACAGCCGGTTCTAGTGGCCGAGCAGGAAACATCTGCAGACTCGAGCGGGACCGCGACTCCCACCAAGTCTGGGTCCGTTTCCAAGACGGGATGAGGTGGGATTGTTTTGGGGGTTCGTGATGCTATTTATACCCATCTAGAGCTTGCGGATAACTATGATGCCAATGATTGGCTTGATTTGCGTATTGAAAACTTGCAATTTTGCCCGACTTTATATCGCCTAGTGATGCTGCGCCCGTGGTTCCCAGACAAATTCCCATGACGCGGTTTTTCGTTGCTATTTTGGCCACGTCCCTGTTCTCGAGTATTGTTGCTCCGAAGACGGCTCACTCCTCATCGGACGTTTGATGGAAACCGCCGACGTCTTCGGCATCCATGACGTTGTGGAGATGCTCCAACAGGTCGTGCGTGGCTTCCAACGTGCTTGGACCGTCAAGGAATATTAGTCTCGGTCTAGAGCGTGGTGCACATTGTTTGCGGCGTGACAATACATGGCGACCTACCTGATGAGGTTGGAAAGATCAACGAGACATCCATAGATTGTCGTCTGAAGGCTATCGAGATGGTGAATGGATCTCCGCAAGAAAGTGAGCTGCATCCTAAGCATGGCTAGCTCGTGTTCGCGTGCTTGCGCATCGGTGTTGCTGTCGTGATGAAAATTAGCTCACGGGATAACTCGCGGGAAGGCTGCTGTTTTTGAGGGGCGAGGGAGGAAGAGGGAGAGGACGAGGTGGTGTTGGGCGTACGTGGCTGGAATGAGATCTTGATGCATGATTTTTGTTAAATGGAACCGAATTTATATTTTATCTGATACAGGCAGTGATGATGAATGCGTATGGATGTTGAACCTGTTGAGAGAAGTGTGCGACTTGGCGGTGGAAGGAAGAAGAAGCAAGAGCAATTTTCACATTTTCAGGCTCTTAGTAGTGCAGCGCAATTGTCATGAATACTCAAGGCATTAATAGCTGAGGGTAGGCGTTTTTTTGAGCTTATGAAGCCATGTGAGCGGAATGTGAGTTGTGTCAATCTGCAATAGAATAAACGGGGTTTGGGACATTTTCAGGGTGTCGTGGCCAAGAATGCGACAAGAAACACTCCCATTCTTCTCTAGGAGAATTTCGAAAGCGAGCATGATTGGTAATACCTTTGTTAGCAAACAGCATGGACCACAACAGCAGACAACTATTCTGCGAATAGCCTCTTGTTGCGTAACAGTGTAGGATGAAACAGGAATCTCGACGGACAAGGTTCCGGGGCGACCTGCGTGCCAGAGTCAGGGGTTAGCTGTGGCAGCAGTTTTCGAGTCTGGGGCTGGGGAACCCCGATTGTGATTAGTGGTATGTATATAGTCATGATGCTGCCCAAGTTCTTGTAAAGTGTTTGGTCCGACTCAGGTCCTCTACGCACCACCCAGGCGCCTGAAGGTAAACCGGCGCCAGCTGAGGCTATATGAGGAAACTAAGTCCCGATAGTAATATCTGGATAGTATATTGCTCTGATATAGTCTAGTTCTAGCTCTATGGTGATGGAAGTAAGAAAGATAAAATAATTTCAAGTTTTTACTCAGGGGGTATCAATTGTCTCACCTGCTCCCCCAACTTCACAGAGTCATTTAGGAGGCATGAGGTAAGGTTTGTGACATGTCCTCTGTGTTGTTTGCTTGAAAAAGATCATTTTGACATAGCCCTGGCCCAATTCCCACCAATAAGTGATGCCACTACCGTGAACTCTACATCTCCCCCCATTTTCTGTCGACATACTGGCCACACGGGCAATTTGCCAGCGGATACATGGCGCAGAGCACTTGAATATCAGGTCTCCTTGAGAGCTTCCAGTCATGATTTGTTGCCTTGTCACTATCAGTGAGCGTGGTGATAATGGCGATACAGGTCGGGCTTGCTACGTGTACGCTTGGCGGGAGTGCTGTGCTCGACGAAATGAGCTCTGTGATGGTGGTTGCGGCCACGGCGATGACATTCCGAGGGATCACTGCTGCTTGCGTTTTTTGGTTTGTTCTGTTGTGTTATCGTGTGCTGTCAATAGTGTAGCTTATGAGCGTGCGACAGGCTACAGCGGGTGTGATACATCAGAGAATCGTTCCAAGATTCTGCAGCATCACACCATGAACTCCTCAACTGGAGCCGGCTGTCCTGACATTATTCTGCAGTCATGGGTGGCAGTATGCACGACACTGGCTATCCAAATCAGTAATTAGTTCATACATTGTGGCCCGGCGCTCTCTAAGCGCTGGCCTGCTACTTACTGGTGTGACAAATGACTTTGGAAAGACGCTCGGGCAAGAATACAATAATCTCATGCAGATTTCTACATGTGCTCCATGATCCACTCATCCTCAGCGAGCTCCTTGGCCGAGGCGCGCTTCGCGGGTTCCCACTGCAGCATTTTCCGCATCATAGCGAGGAACTTCTCTCGGCTTTCTCCCTCCAGACTCGTCTCTCTCATTTCGAGCGACGTGCTATTTGGACACGGAGCCTCTGCACGACACTCGCCTGTGGGACGAGCGGCATCTGGTGTCAGCCGCAAAGGATCATTTCATTGTCCAGCGTTCGCTTACCTTGTGCCGTAAAGAACTTGTGGCTTGATTTGCCTGCATCAAGAAGCGCCTTTGGAGGTGTCCCGAGCAACGCAACCATCTCGGCGAGGTGTGCCCGACTGCGGTATTTCTGATGCTGCGGATCAAGTCCAGTGAACAGGTGACCTCCTTCGAACAAATCCCAGATCTAAAATGACAGTACAGACCTGAGTCAGCTCAAATTCTGCATGTGCTCATGTCCTTTTAGATTCGTACCATACAAGCCGTATTCCAAATATCAATCTCGTAGGACCACGGTGCTTCCAAAACAACCTCGGGTGCTCTGTAGATGTCGGGCTGTACGTCCTCGAGATGTTCTACATGACCGCTAACGGCTGACCCAAAGTCACAAAGAACCGGTGCGCCCCAGCTCTTGGGCATCTGAAGCTCGCGTGACAGATACATGGCCCTGCCGTCCACGATTTTCCGCGGAGACGGGTCGGCCAGCTCTTGCTCCTCGAATGCCGTGAAGACCGAATCGTCCCCAATGCCAAACATGATATTATCGGCCTTGATGTCTACCCCATAACAATTCAGTACTATTCCCAAGGGGCAAATTATATAAACTACGCCCAAGGCGGGTTATGCTCGGCCCAGTTCCCCCAACACGCACCTGTGTGTATTATTTGACATTCTGTGTGCAGAAAATCCAAGGCAAGAAATACACGGCGGAGGATAAAGGCCAGCACTGGCGCTGGTAGCCTTTCCACCGGGTTACGGCGCAAGAAAGTCAAAGTGCTCTCCCAGAGCGGCGGGTGCACCAAGCACCGGTGGCTGCCGTCTGGTCCGCAAACATCGAAAGAGTCCAGGAGCTCCCTGACGGCACTGCGACCAGAATGGTTTGATGATGATGCAGAGATACGCTTGTATATGGAGAGTTCGCGATCCAACTGCTCACCCATGGACTGAGAATGTATGAAGAGCTTGAGGGCTACATGCCGACGTCGACTGTCATGTTAATTAGTAGGAGGAACAGGCCAAGAGAGCTGAGCAGGTACGAGAGCATCTCACGGTAGGTCGCGAGCCAGCCAGACGGTTGAGCTGGCTCCAAAGCCCAGCTTGCCAACAATCTGATAGCGACTTTTGAGGACCTCGCCGATGCGAACTGGATAGTAACGGGATGCGAGGTAGTCGGGAAAAAGCTCCTCCTCAATCTTTTCATGCAGTGGAATTGACGTCAAGTTTGGGTTGGAGAAAGTAAGTGGCTTCCAAGCCCGGCCAGGCCAAGGCAATCGCCGAAGAATGGATGCCATAAGAAGCGGCCATGAGGTAGGCTGACGAGTGATTGGTGCTGGTTGAATGGGAGGACGAAGCCGCACGTGTCCCAGCATTGAAGCTCCAAGCTCGCGAGCAAGACCCCTGCCGCCGCTTAGGTCCGAGGTGAGGCTCGCTGAGCGGCGGGTCATTAGCGCCCGAGCTGGTGTGGCTAGAGGCGGTAGTAGTGCCATGTGCAGCTTCGCGCTTCAATGTTCCCATTTATTATACCATGCCCTGGAACGGTGGATACAAGTCAAAAGACCTTTGATTGATTGAATCTGCAAAAAGAGGCTAGGAGGCCCCAAAATGTTTGTCTCGCCAGTGTGTAACGAAACCGTGCGGTGCTGTGTACGTCCCATGCTGGCGACGGTGTTGGGTCATATCTCATCATTCTCACTCAGTTGTTGCTATAGAAAAAGACGCAGATACGGAGTACAACTCCTGTGATCCTGTCGGCGTTATACTCAATGCAAAGAAGAAAGAAAAAACCACCCTCAATAAAAATTAAACGCGTTACTTGGGTTCACTTAATCCACCAACACACGTTGAAATTACACAAAATGTGTAAAAAAAAAAAGACCAACTTGCTCCCTACTGGAATCGAACCAGTGATCTTATCATTACTAGTGATACGCTTTACCACTAAGCCAAGGGAGCATTTGCTGTTGTTGATGATGCGGGGTGTTATTACGGATCATCAAGGTGGCACTTCATGTGGATTAATCGGGCCTTGGCTTCTTCAGCCAGCCCTTTTCTAACCTCCTGCCAAGTCTTCAAGTTGACGTTAGCAATAGTAGGCTGCTTTTGTCAACCCCTTCTCAATTTCCAATTGTCCAACACTGAATGCCGCAAAGCCGGGGAACTGCACGCAAGATTGAACAGCTCCATTGCAACGTCACGCCCACCAGACCAGTCACTACTCACATCTTCACAGGTCGTTACAGTCGTGTTGATGGACTGGTGTACGCCCCATGTGCGAGCTGACACTGCCGTCTCGTGAACCACCATTCCAGTTTGCCACAACAGGTAACCTCAAAGTCCAAGTCTGATTTGGCGGGAAGCAAGTTCCTCGCCAAAGGCGCCACGCACACCAGGACACTGCCGACATACGGGCATTGATCAGCCGTTCGTGACATGGCGAATCCGATGGTTGCTTTGTGAGGCACTTGTTGCTCCTGTCCTAACCAGTCCAGTCTGACCTGCCCCACACTTGCTCGCGAGCCGTCGTGGTACTGGAAAAGCAAGCCCGTAACAACGCCGTCAAAACTGCACGTCTTGATCAAGTCGAGGTTCTCAAGAGGCGCAAACGTATAAAAATAGCTCTTGACTGACGTTATCGCCGGGTAGCACGATTCAGGCGCCGGTTTGCGCAAGTTACGTGTCTCATTGGCTTCTTCTGGTCCTGGAGTCAGAGCCAGTTCGCGTATTCCCGCCGCGTCGTCGATGAAGAGGTAATCCCTTTGCCTTCGAAGTTTTGCCACACGGGAATACGTGTACGCTTGACCTGGCGTTGGATGATGTCCTAATACATGTACGCGGCCGGCTGTCGTCACCACGATTGAATCAACTATATTTCGGCGATACAGGTAGCAATCACGACGCCACAGCTCGGCGAGGAGCTCGCCGCGACTGATTGGAATGTGCAGCCATGCAGTGGCGTCGTCCCCCATGTTGGCGTAGCAAGACACCTCGTCCACGGCCGTGTGCCTGGCGATGCGAAGCGCTCGGCGGGCAGGGTTCCATGCCACCGAGTAGCCCGTCGTGCCCGTGTCGTTAATCGTAAGACGGTTGTATCTAGCTGGCCCCGACGATGGGTATAGAGAATATCGCATCAGCCCTGGTCGATAAAACGGGGCCGACCACAATGGGAGTTGGAATTCCCATGCTGGTCGGTCCGCAAGTTGCGAATTTTGAGTCCCTATGGCGGTTAGTGCATTGGCAACTTGATAAAGAGGAGCAAAGGAGCAGATAACATTACATCAAAGTCAAAATGAGGCCTGCATCCCTTACCGAGCGAAAGGGTTTGCCGCCAGTCCCAAGGGCAGCTTTCGATTTCCAGAGTTTCCTTTAAGCAAGCGAATACTACCTTCTTCACGCCCAGACGACCACGTGCAATGTACATGACGTCAACTATCGACATCATCTCGGTATTGTATACAAGTTCCTCTGCCGGTTCGTTGTTCAGAGCGGACACGTACGTTTCACCATGCAGCGTCACGTAGCTCGCCCATATGCACGACGAGGTTCTCACTTGGCCACTCGAAGCTTCAGTCATGTTCTCTTCAGCTTGCAAAGTCCACCGGGCTAAATCGAGCGTCGAGGCGCCAGTGCGTGCCAATTGGCGCTTAAGGAGGCAACGAGGCAGAATCTTTCGTCTTCTTCATGATACCGGCCAGCCAGTCCTTAGGCAGGCCGCAGGAGCCTGCCACCCCTAACCATGCGTAGGTATCGTGTCAAACTGTCAATCTCACATGAGTGCTTACCAGCCTCCATGATAAGTACGTATAAAAAAGTCTGGCTCTTGATTGCGAATATGTCTTCCTGTCACACGGAAGAGGGACCTGTGCAAAGGTATCGGCCACAAAGGTTACACAACCACCAAGGAAGATATCACGAGAGCCCGGAACCGGACCATAAGCGAGGGCTGCCTCAGGCACTAGCCCTCGCCAACTTCTTGTCAACTGGTATTTATAGAGACCTCTAGTCCCTTAAGGCCTTCTGGAAAAACAAGAACAGTTAATACCTCAAAGTCAATCATTGAATTGATATTTGAACACACATTCCAAGCCCAGTTACCCTGCCTTGTCATACTTCTTCATTCAGAATCAACTACAAAATATCCGATTTCTTAACAACAAAATATCCTCAACTTTAATCTCTTAAAATCATAACCATGGACTTGGACAGTCGTTTCGGCGAAAAAATCAAGCGCTGCGAGGAGGCTACGGGATATGTATTTGTTAAAAAGGAACTCTGCGCCGAGGCCCTGAACGCGTCCGCAGACGGCACGGCGTGCTACTACGGCCATACCTTGAAGCAACTTCGGAAAAATGACCGCCTCGCAGTATACGGTGACACTGTCGCGGATAGTGTCCTGTGCCACCGTTGGTACAAGCAAGGGCACGAGAAAGGTACAGTCTCCAACCCGCCGATACCATCCGCCCGCAGCTGTATTTCTAACAAGTCTCGAAGGAGTCTGGGACTCTATGCGTAAAGAGGCTTTTTCTAATAAGAATCTCGCTGAACGTGGGTTTGCCAATCAGCTAGATGTTTGCATCATTAGAAATGGAGGCACAGTCTGCGTCTCCGACAAAATGATGGCGACCGCCGTGGAAGCGATTCTCGGCGCGGTCCATCTAGACGGTGGCCTTGATGCCCTGACCACAGTCATGGGGAACCTTGGCATCATCGTCCCCCTGCGCGAATAGGTAAGGTGCAATCCTCCCTACAGTTTTCTGATGTACACTTCCGCTGCCATCTACTTACGTCGACGTGTATAGGTCCATGCCGCGAAGCTACCCCAGGTTACTCGGTGCCGAAGCATGAAGTGATCCTTGCGGAAAGTGAGGTGTGCGCCTGAGCTTAGTTCGTCTTGAAGACTCAAGCGTCGCTGGTTTTGCGGATGATTTATTTTCAGAACAGCATGTCTTTTTGGCGGTTGGGCGTAGGTGGATTCTGGTCATAGCCGCAAGGGGTACTTTTTGAGACGACGGCGAGGAACTTTGGGTGGTTTGGTGGTGTCGGGACTACCGTGTCCTCGAAGTGTGCCTGCGTTTCGAGACTCTAAGAGAGATAGCTTCTAACAGATTCTTTTTTGTCAACCCAGGGAGTCGAAAACTAACGGCGAGACACCATCGAGGGCTGTGGGAGTAAAGATCACGGCGGCTCTGAGGCAAGCGCTGTGCTATTAGGCCATCATAAGGCCATCATAGTCATTCTTGTTGAAGTAGGAAGCAGTCTGGTAGCTGGGTATATGTAGGTTTTTAGTCCAATTAGGCAACTAGACAACTGGTAGCCTAGTACTGGTTTTTCCCTACTAGAGGTCTCGTAGCAGAAGTTGGAGTTATATGGAGTAATAGCCTATTAGGATAAATCAATGAATACATATTATATGTCAACGCTCTTTACTACATCTTGTATGCATCTTTTTCAACTACTTACTTCCACGCCATGGGTAGAACCCACAAAGAATGACCGCGAAAAGACAGCACCAGGGTATGACATGATATGCACGCTTATAACACCTCGTCCGGCTCCCAGGCCAATTCCCTCGTCTCACTCTCCGCCACCTTCCTGTCCACAAAAGCCTCCATAGCGGCCCTGGCCTTCTCATCAAGCAGCTCCAGCCTCTCCATCCAAGCATCTCCAGGCCCGGAAGCGCCTTCACCCCTCCCAAAAAACCGCGGGTCCAACTTCTCCCAAAAGACGCCGTCAAAGGCAAAATTCCTCCGAGCCGCATAGACTGTCCAGAAGTCACCGCTCGCCCAGCTCTCGCGCATCTTGCCAGAAAGCCGCTGCTCCTCGAGCAGCTGCCCAGCGGCAATGGAGGCGTCTTCACAGTCGCCCATGGCCTTTAAGAACGTGGTGAGGCGGCGCTCGTATTGCTGTACCCAGTCATCTAGGCCCTTTTCCCAGTACTCTGGCTGTTCGATGAGCAGCCACCAGGGAGGAGCAAAGGTGAATTCGCTGGGGGCCGCGTACGAAAACTCCCAGTCAATCACGGCGACAATTTGTAAGTTGGCGTCGAGGAGTATGTTGGATGGCCGGAGGTCGTCGCACCAGAACTTGAATGGTCCTTTGTCGTAGCGGTCTGACACAAGTTTCCTTTCATAAGCGAGCTTCTGGAAGAGCTGTCTCGCTGTATATTTGCGCTGACAGTCGGCCCTGGACTCGATTGCATCGTTTCTTTGGTTCGCTAGATGGTCAACGTGGAGATTTGCAAGGGCTTGGAAGTACTCCGATGAGGTCTTGAATGTGGACGTGGGTAGTTTTGCTCGTGGGAACGTTCCTGTCCTGACCAACTCGTTCATGGGCATTGATAGCGGGCGCCGCGTCACCTCCCATGACCGTTCGTGCGTCTCTTCTAGCGCTCCGATTAAAGGAAGCTCCAACTTGGACAGCTGAAGGAGGATACTTGCGACCTGGCGATAGAGCATTTCGAGCTTCGCTTCGTCAATGTTGGGGTACAGAACGGGCGGTATATCAAGCGTGAGTCCCGGCGTGTTGAGGGCCGCCGTCATATTCATTTCGTGGTTGATGTAGTCCATGATTATGAATGGCCCTATGCCGAGGGGACTCTCTTCTCTCGTCCCCCAGTGGAGGATAAAAGGAACGGGAATGGCGGTGTGGTCCTGGATGTAGCGTATCGTGGCGACTTCATTTCGAATCTTCTCCTCGGGGAACATTGTCCTGCCTGGCTTCGCGAACCGTATCACGGCCGAGCCGCCGTCTGATTAGGTTAAGCGAAATAGGGCGTTGAATGCGCCCGCTTTGAGAGGGCCGATTTCTTGAGGGACGCCCTGGCGGTGCTTGGCGACAAAGTTGCCAATGGCTAGCATGGTCGGAGTCGTCAAGAGACTCTCGCGCCATTCTCTCTCGATGCGGTCGCTTTCTTCCCACGCGACATCGTCGCCTTGCATCCACATGGTGCTATTCGACGTAGAGCCGGAACGTGGAGGGAATGGATAAGGGACCAAGTGACTCTTCTCCTCCCATGCTGCTGCCTGGGGCTATGCACGTCACATACCCTTGCCATAGCCAACTGAGCAATCTAGGCGCCGTTGCCACTTGGTTGGTTGGTTGGTCGACCGTCACCTGCAACTCAACCTGCGCATTGTAGTAGTTAAATGTTGGTACTAATTTCGATTCATGCTTGTTACCTGTTTGTATATCTCGCTTCAGTACAGCAATAACATGGGGAATACGACGATTGATAATCTAGCGCCGCTGTGTAGCGTCAAGTATCTGTAATATCGCGACAAGGCTTGTAGAGGGCTTGGAATCAATAGCTTAATTCATCTAACAACAGTCTTTGGTGTCAAAGGTCCTTGGTCTTCTCAAGGCCTAGAGGGACCAAAGAGTTCTATAAATACAAAAAGTCGGTGAGTGCCTCGGCTCTAGTCCCGCGATCGTAGCCCTCGTGTAGCCGTGTGACAAATGTTTCCAACAACAGCACAAGTCGAAAGCTATTCCACCAAGTCGCTCACGTCATCACTCGGTTCCTTGTACGATCCTTCCTCGGGTCGAGCTCCTCGTGTCGTTTCTTCGATAATGTTGGACTTGTCAATGCCGTCAACCATGTCTTCCTCTGCGAATTATTAGCTACGGTTCAAATTATTTTCGTAGATACTAGGCGGATCGACATACGCAGTTCCGGGTTGTTGTGGACCGTCTCATCAATGTCCTCTTCGGCGACATCCGTCGGCAGGGGCTTGACATCCTTGACATTGGAAGTGACGGGCTCGTCGTTGAGAAAATTACCGTCGTCTGCGTTGGGAGCCATATTGTAAGTGAATGGGTACAGTGAGTTTTGTCCAAAGAGTCAGTGTTTGTGAGGTTTTATTATCAACCTGATTTGTGCAACCGCTCTTGGAGTTGTTCAATCTGCATAACTGCTGGATGTTGAGGAGCTTATATACACGTTCTGCAATTGCCTTGAGCCATATTACCGTTGTGCATCGGTAGCAAATCTATGCTTTGTAGCAGGCAATACCGATTAAACGAGTCGATCGCGATAAGACTCTATGACGAACTACATCACCCCAGGGAAATAGATCGATCGACATACAACCTTCCAGCTTTGGACTTGCACAGGGCGCCAACTTTTACGTCGTTGAGGGAAAACCTATGGTTAGTAATTAGATTTTGCCTTTCTTCTGCCCGTTGATCGTTCCCCGTTCCCCGGTGACGCGGTGCATGTCTTAACGGCGGGTCATATCGAGCTAGTGGAAAGACTAAATCCGGAGATCGGGATGGGAGTGGTGACGAATTGAAAACGGGGCGGCGATCGAGATGTCTGACTGCCGCTACGTCCGCTCTCTACATGCACCGAGCTTAGAAGTCCGGTTGTAAAATATTTCTCTGTAGCCTGTCAATTTTCCTGACGTGGACTGTAGTGCCCTACATGTAGGAATAAGCGCCCACACGTCCATAGCAAAATCGCAGGTCAGATGCCTTGACTGTAAGACAGCGGCTCACTACTACAAAGTGTAGAGCAAGACATGAAGGAGCAATAAGCCTTGCACTCAAACGCAAAACTGGCCGAGGACTGTATTATAGTTGGTGCTTGAATTTATCATTTCTCTTCAACTTTGAGTAATCAAGATGCGGAATCGTCAGCTCAGATTTGGCTCGCCGCTGTACAGATGCGG